GCTTCTTATCTGACACAACGATCCCTTGGTATTCCTCTCGATAGATGGAGACATATTGGTAAATTATATTATCTACGATGAACCTTCTTTTAGACACCATGGACATAGGGGAAGGGAATTATGTGTAGTTTTTTTGGTTTACTTGTTTTGGATTCTACTAGGTGGCCTAACCTACTACTATGCATATTAATGGTTCTTATTTGGTGCTGTTATTAATAGATGAAGCAACAAAGGAAGATCTTGTGCTCAAACGCTTATGGGAGAAATCGAATATGGAGAGCTATGTAGCAGAGATGCGGAAAGAATCAAAACGCAGAAGATAGCTGCATTAGTGGCCTCGTCTGCTGCATTTAAAGTTCTAAATTTGGTTTTAATTATGAAATTGAACTGAACGACGAAGTGACAATTAAAGTTAAAATTGGAAAGCTGCTAATTGATTTGGAGGAGGAGGGGTAATAGAAGCAGAATTATTCATTTCAACCACGAAATCGTGGAGTCATAAACAAAGTTTAGTGAGTTTAAACATGTCTCTGACAGCCTGTAAACAGTGAACACTAAAGAATACCGCATTCATTTTATTTTATTTTTTTGTTTCAAAGTCAGGTATTTAAGCCTTACTCCCTCGATAATCGGATGTTCGGTAGTGGTTTTGTGCAACAATTTTAATGACATTATATGAATTCTCGGCATGTTACAGTAGAGTTTTGACTTAATGTATGTGTCTGAAATTGTTATCCTTCCACTCTTCCTGTTGTAGTATATCGCGACTAGCGTTGCTTTCCTCGGCTTAAGATTCCCAGTGTTGCTTACTGGGTCTGATTGGCCAGTTGGTGAGGTGGTGAATGATTTGCTAGATCATCTCTTAACTAGAGTGTTAAATCTAATACATCAATCTAATAAAAGAATTCATTTTGAACATGTCACATATCATGATAATTAAATTAGTTTTTAAAATTGCAAAATATTAAAATACAAACGAGAATTATAAATGTACCAGTTTTTTAGGATTTTATTATTAAAGTAAAATTGGAAAGAGAGTTTTAAAAATGATATAACAATAAAATTTAGATTGCTTTCATTCATGTTAGCTAAGAGATAAAACAAATTAAAACTTATATAAGATTCAATTGTTTTAAAAAAATTATATTAGAAACCTATCGGTATCCATGGTGTAAATCTTAAAATTAATAATAAGAGCTTACATAAGATTACCTAAATTATAACTATACAATATAATATTTTAATGATTAAATTAATATTTTAAGTTTAAAAAAATTAAAGTAAAAAAGTATGAATTTTTATGAAATTTCATTATCAAAAGAAAAGTTATAAAAAATATAATATAAATGGTTTTAAAATAAAGTAACACGCATATAAAATAAAATAAGAAAACGAGACTAAGTTGCTGTATTTACAATATTGTGAGGGGGTGACACGTTGATGACATTACATTCTCTTAACACTAGATAACAACGTGGATAACAGTCCATGAGTACAGTTAATATTTTTAATTCGCTAGCTCGGTTTGATGCCTAATTAATCAAATTGGTGAACTAAAAGTGGATTAGTACGTTAGTTAGTTTTTTTAATTAAAACAAAAAACAATTTCAAAGTTATTTTTTCGTATTATCTTATTTAAAGGGTATAAATATAATACATATAAATTAAATTTCAATTGTTACTTATATTAGAATGATTTATGACTTAAAAATACCAACTATAGAGTAATTTTCTATTTATTACATTCTGACATTTTTGTGTGTATGTATATTGTTTTTTTATTTTGATTCTTTATTGAATCCATTGTTTCACATGATGCTTGAATGAATTTGTTTCTTTTAGTCTTAACTCTTTACTTATAAACTTTTTTTATAATAATATGGTGTATTTTTTCATTATACTAACATCATTTTAAATATCTATATACACTTTTTTTCTTTTTTATTCGAGATGTCAAGAAAGTACAATTGTACAAGTTCCAAATCAAATTATCAAATAACAATTGAATAAAACAAATAATTATATAAAATACTACATAATTACACATAGATAAAATTGTATTGAAATCAAAACATCTATTAATTTTATAAGCACTAATGAGTTGATCATATTAAAAGTTTCCAGCAATATTATCATTTAGACACAAAATCAAATATAATTTTTGAACCATATATCAACTAAGGAAAATGATACTTGAACAACCATTTTTGACAACATTTAGACACGAGAACACGTGTCTAAATGTTGTCAAAAATGGTTGTTGAAGTGTCATTTTCCATCAACTAAACTCATTATTTTTGAACCAGTTATATGACACTTTTAATTTAAAAATATTAAATTACCAACTCTATAATTACATCCCGTGTGTGTACGATATAGCAGTTGAATATACACTCACACCTCATGAATGCTAAGTGTTTCCTCTGACAACACCAACCGAAAAAATTGAAGGAAAATACAGAACAACCTTTGAGAGGGTACATACAATACTCTTCTCCCTCTTGAACTCTGCAATTTCACATTTCATTTTCGTGGTTTGTTATTGAATTTGGTTGTGGCATGGATGTGACTTTTGTGTTGGAGGATAAGACAGAATTCTGTATTAGAGTGGAGTCGTCCAACAAGTTCCAAGAAATCAAAGAAAAGATAAAGATATCGAGGAACATTCCCGTTGACCGACAAACGCTACTCTTCAATGGTCAGGTTTTTCAAAACGAAGCCTTGTTCATCGACACTCACATCTCTCAACTCTCTCGCGTTCCACAACTGGTTCAGCCCAATGAAAACGAGTATGACCTGCCACAGTGGATTAGGAACGTGTCCAAATTAGATATACAGGAGATGCAAGAGATGCTCTCGTCGATTCCAGAAGCACAGAATATGTCGTTTACCGTGGACGCATCGGTGGTGCTCACAGAAAATCCAGACGAGATAGAAGAATTTGTCTCTTCGATGATGGACACTCCGCCGGAGGAGCCGGTGCCGCAGTTTCCGCTGCCTAATACAGTGATGTTCATGGTGAAAAGCTTGGATGTGAAGCGGAAGCCTCTCCCCGTGGAAATGTATCTGAAGGACACCGTTCTGCAGCTGAAGGAGGTGTTTATCAGAACGAAGAAACCTCGAAGGCTAAAGGTGAAGAATATGGTCGTGGTGAATAAAGTAGGTGATGAATTGCATGACCATATGTCTATGCTAGCATGTGGGATGCTTAATGTGTCTCATGTTTACGTGTGTAGTCGATCAGAACGAGGAGCTTTGATTGCTGTTGATCTCAAACATGGGAAGATGTTGAAGGTGATGGTGGTTCCCAAGGGCAGAATTCAGAAGATACCCATTGAGGTTAATTCTCTTAACTGTTTGGGAGATTTGAGGTTTGAATTGGAGAAGTTTCACAAACATTTTCTTCCCGAAAGTTTTGGTTACTTTTTTACCATCAAGAACGGCCTTCTGGCGAGTGAAACATATTCGTTTGACAGGTTAGGGATCAAAGAGGGTGACACCGTTATAATAAACCCTAAACAACTTTCCAGCGTTTTCCAATGGTGAAGAAGCCACGCATGCATGCATGCATGAGAATCAGTTCGTATTGAATACAAAAAGTTAGTTAAACCTGCTACTGGGATGTTAGTTTGTTAGTCGTTATCATAATGAACTTGTACTAATGAGGTATCACAGAGCTTTGTAAATCATTCAAATAAAATTTGTAAGCTCCTGAGATATTCGTTCCCATTTCCAGGTAACACATTGAAGAGTTTGCAAACGCCTTTCACGTTTTTTAAGAGTTGATATTTTTTTAATCTTATTATTTCTTTCATATTTTAGTCTATTTTTTATAATTCGTATAATATATATAAGACAGTTTGAGTGTCTATAAGAAATGAAGATAGTCTAAATTACAACATAATATAAACGCATGTATTATGAATGAAAAAAAAGAGTCTATTTTTGTTATTATATATTTAATGTCTATTTTTGTTACTATATATTTAATATTTATTTTTGTTATTATATATTTACAATTATTTTCTTTACATACCAAGACATATATTAAGTTTTGATATAATTGATGCATTTCATTTTGATATAACGGGGATTCGTTAAGAAATTTAATAATAATAAGATTTAAATAAAAATATTAACGAAATCTTTAACATAAAAGTTTAGAATGATAATAATAAGTCTATGAGTATTTTTTTTATATATTTCTTAACTTCTGATTTTTCGTATGACTTACATTTAAATCTCAGTATACTATTAATAATAAAAGCGAAAATAACTGACGTTAAATAATCAATATTGAAAAAGCTAATAGATGTTTAGAGAAAAGAGTTATAATAAAACATGATGTTATTCGTTAAATAAATTATTTATAATAATAAAAGAATATTTTAAAAATATTTAGAATGTTCAAATTTTATTAATTTAAAACTTATATATAAGTACAATCATTACTTTATTTATAATTTTGAAAATAATTTCATGTCCATACATAAATTATATTTTTATCGTGAGATGAAAATGTAATTAAATTTCGAATTATATTTAGTATTATAAAATAAATCTTGCAAGAGTTTTAATTTGAATTGCCATGAATATGCGTTAAAATTACTATTAATCTGAACAACAGCATTTACTCGTAAGTTCACATTGGGTAAATTTTTAATTTCAAGTTTGCTTGTTTCATAACTAGTCAGATATATTATAAACTTTAATTTTTATTCATTTGTAATGTCAAATAAATTAGTTATAAGTTGTTACATAGTTAATGACAGTATAGGTTCAAAGTTGATATTACTAAAAAATAGATTTATAGTCAATTTAATAACAGCACGTATGAACTCAATTTGAAATGAAATGAATATATTTTCAAAATAAAAAAATTCAATTAGATGGGTAGTTTTCGTTATTTTCCAGTTTTCAAACAGTTTGAAATATATTGGTATTTGATATGAAAAATTTATAAGTAGGAAAGAACGTACCAGACTCTGACAAAAGGTGAGATGGATGTAACTTTTGTGCTGGAGGATGGGAGACCATTCTGTATGGAAGTGAGTTTATTTGACTCATTTCTTGAAATCAAACAAAAACTGCAGAAGTATAAGGCCATTCCCACTTCTTCCCAAACGCTCATTTTCAACGGTGAAATTCTTCAAAACGACGACGTCATCTTCCACACTCATATCTCTCAGCAGTCTCGTCTAAAACTCCTCGTTAAACCTGTGACGTTGCCGCTGCAGTTTCCACCTCCAAACGACTATGGAGAGATCGCGCCATCGGAGACGACATTACCGCTTTTGCGTTTCGAAGACGATTCAGCGAGTGCATTGCCGCTGTGGAATCCAGAGTTTAAACCGGCTCCGCCACCGCTTCTGCCAATGCCGCCGGCTACAGTCAGGTTAACAGTGGAAATAGTTGAATACATAGTGAGGCCTTTCGTCTTAGAGATGGATCTGGACGATACCATACTGCAGCTGAAGAAGAAGATTTACAGAATGAAGAAGACAAGAAAACTAAACCTAAACAAGATGTCGGTGCGAATAAATTCGGGTGAGGACTTGCGTGACCAATTGTCGCTGCGAGATTGCGGGGTGCTAAATATGTCAGTTGTTTACGTGCATAAAAATTCAGAAAAACCAGAACCAGAACCACAACAGAAATTTACTATTCCTGTTGTAACCGCTGATTGTGTCGGTGGTGTGGCGACAAAGATGGTGAAGATTATGGTGGTTCCCAAGGACGGAACTCAGAAGGTAGTGATCGAGGTGGATTTGTTTGACAGAGTGGAAGATTTGAGGTACGAGTTGGAGAAATTTCACAAGCATGTTCTTCCCGCAAACGTTGGTTATTTTTTCACCAACAAGAAGAATGACCATGTAATGTCTGAAGCGCATGCGTTTAACTGGTACGGGATTGAAGACGGGGACGTCATAGAAGTCACCCCTGAATATGTTTATGATAAATCCAATTCCTGAGTATAAAGAAAGCCACGCGTTCTAGCATGAATTTCTGTTCTTATCAAATAACAAAATATCTGTTTGTTACCTAGATGCGGTGCTTTTGTTAAACAAGAAAGGCGGGAAGATTAGTTACTTAGTTATCCTAACACAACTGCAAACATATTTCAAGATTCTTTCTTTTATTATACATCTATTTTTGTAACTAATTACCTTTTTTTAAAACGAGAAGAAACTCTTTCTCCATCTCACCTTGGAGCACTTTGATCATTGATTACATTCAAAGGATGATGAGGATGGGGAATAACTATAGATAAGGGCTCGCTCACATTTATCCACTAGTTTAAGGTCCTTTACTTCAACAAAAAGGTGATGGATAACACGTTTACAAAATTGATTTGAAAGATCAAATTTATATTTATTTATAATATAAATTTGTCTTTATTATTAGTAATAGTGATATTTTCAGATTATATATATTTATAGATAGTTTGACAGGAAACAATACGATAAATTCAATAAATATTATATAATCTTAAAAATTGAATTTTTAATATAAAGTAATAAGAAAATGAGATAAGTCTACATCTATATAATTAAGGAATATAAAATTTAAATAAAATATACAAGAAATAAAAAACTTTATTTTTTATATTAAATATTTTTCAAAATTTATTTTATAAATTGTTGTTTAAATATATTAACATATAAATCAAATAATTTATAAACTCGTATAAACTTTTTCTTCATTTTTTGAGGTTTTTTATAAGAATAGACAAATTTGACTCCAATATTACGAAAATAGTTAAATTTTAAAATAAATTACAAAAATACACAAGTCTCTGTCTGTGAAGAAATTGTCTATCGTCACATATCTAAAAAAAAATTGAATAGTTGAATTCGTGCACTGACAACTTTAATGGAAAATTTGTAAGATTTTAAAAATAGAAAAATGTTATTTTAACAACTTTTTGTTTGACAATTTTTTTATAATAGTTTATACGGTAGTTTATAATTGGTCTCTTTAAAAAGTTATTAAAAAAAAGTTGTTCTTAAAAATAAGTGATATACCAAGAGGTCTATTTTAAAAAATCTGTTTCTGATTGACGGAATCCTAAAAACGACCTTTTCTTTCTTTTCTTTCTTTTCTTTCTTTTCTTTCTTTATATATATATATATATATATATGCATGGAAACTTGAGTTAGGAGTTCATATCCAATAAACTAAAAGCCAGTCACAACCTATGGTGTCCCTTAGTTAGTTAAACCGTTAAAAATTAGCAAGAAAGTTAGTTAGTTCTTTTAAGGCAAATGTAAGCCTAGTGAAAAAATGATCATATTTGAAATAAATGGCATTGAAGAGTCTGCAAAGCATCTTTTAAGAACTTCGCTTCTTCAGGAATCCCCCAACTGGATCAAAAGTGTTGAACGTGAAAGTATTTGAAGTTATCGCGGGGAAAAGGGCAGAACAACGAAAATTCATTCACCACAGAGATGGAAATCAATGCTAATTTTCAGGTTGAGGAAGATATGACGATAACCATTGCAGCTCATCCCCTCGATACTATCCGCGAAGTCAAAAAGAAGATCCAAACAACTTTTGGAATTCCTATTTCCAGACAAATCATTATCTTGGATAATGGCCAATTTCTCCAAGACCATGTCTACGTTCTGAACTCTAGAACATGCAACCACAGCTCCCGATTTCTTTTTTCTGTTCAACCCAATGCCCAAAACATTGTGTCGCCGCCGCTGCCTTCTCTATGTAATCGAATGCTGCCTTCGTCGCCGCAACCGACTTTATTCCATCCGCTTGAGGTTATAGCGCACACAATTCCTCCAACCACTCCGCTGGTTCCGATGCTGCCGGGACATCAGGTTTCAATACCGGCGAGTACTCCGGTGGCTCAGGGGCCGGCGATTACTCCGATTTTTCATTCGCCGGAGTTCGCTCCGTTGGATCAGGTGCCGGCGAGGACTTTGATGGGTCAAGCGCCCGAGAGAACTCAGGCGATTGAAGTGCCGGCGAGTACTATGGTGGCTCCGGCTCCGGCTCCGGCGACGGAGAGAACTCTTGTGTGTCCGATGCCGCCGTGGAAGCCAGTGGTAAGGATGCGGACAGGGACTCCCGTGTTGCCGATGCATCTTATACAGCCAAATATAGAGTTGGAAGATTCAGCACCAAATACAGAGAAAGATGCATCGTCGGTGAAGGTTATTGTGAATATAGGTAAGCCTATCCCTATACAAACGGAATGGGACAGCACCGTTCTGATGCTGAAGCAGAAGATAGTTGAATATTTGAAAATATGTGCACGTAATGGAGGCTCTGACAGGGAAGATCTGACAGTAGAAAGGATGGTGTTGCAATCGCATTTTACGGATGCGACATTGCGTGACGATGTGCTTCTCAAGCATTGTTTGAGTTCACTGTATCCTGAGGTCGACCTATGGCTTGAAACCGTCGGTTCCAGTGACAGCTGAGAATAACCACATCCACATCTGTTAGTTCGTTGATTCAGTTCTTCTGTAATAGTACAACTTTCCAAATACACACAATAAAATGAATAATCCTTCATCTTGGGCAATCTTTCATTATTACATGCACATTGATATTCTTGAGTTTTTATTCAATAATTTTATTTTAACTAAATACCTTAGTTTAATTTTTTATTATTAAAATCAGTCTCATTTCACTGTTTTAAAAGAGGTTAACTCAATACATCATTTTCCATATATAAAACACCATTAACACTGCTTACACTACTATAAAAGGGATCTTAATAACAATTATTAAAAAAATAACATCATATTTTTCAATGACTTTTGTTTATATAATATTACTTGAATAAAAAGTAAAGACAATAATTGAACTATGATATTTATTAATTATATTTGATATTTGATACTTATTTTAAGGGAGATGATATTTTAACATCCATTAAATACTAACCCAATCCATGTACATTTGTATCATCGATACAAAACTTATACAACTAATATGAGAATATCAAATATCCAACCTTTATTAACTAAATACATTAAATTGGAAAATTAAAAGAATAATATTAATTAGTTATTTTTATATATCTATTAATCAATATTATATTTTAATAAAGTTATACATTTTCAAAAATATTTTGTTTAATATAATAAAAATACACATTAATTGATACTTCGAGTAGGTGTTTTCACTTTGTGTATTATATGTCTGATAATTACATTTAAAAGTAAAATATGATTTGAAGTTTAAAAATAATTATTCTTATTATGAAAGCGACTTATGTTGATAATTCAAATAAAGTTAGGTAACTAACTGGTACTGGTACAGTACATTTAAAATAGATATATAAATGTGATAATTTTATGCATTCATATTTTAATTATATTTTTTGTTTTAATATTAATTATTAAAATATATTATTATATTGTTAAAAAGTGGGTTGTAAAGTGAATATGTTATCTCTTTAAGATATAAAAATATTCTTTGAGGCACTTAAATATTTTACATACATTTAATACTATTTTTATTTAATTTTTACTATACTTTTTCTCGGAAAAGATACATAAACTTATATTTTTATCACCATTTTATCTTATATTTTGTGTCAATAAAAATATGTCATGATATCATTATTTTATAAGATAAAAAAAATGATTTTTAACATACTTAAATTATTTATATTTACTTGACACTACTCTTACTTTTTAATACTTTTTTTTCTTAAAAAAAATATAAAGATTTATATTTTTATGACAATTTTATCTTTGTAGTCTCTGTCAAATGAATGTAAAAGTGTAGCATGGTACCATTACTTTGTAAGATAGAAAAATGATTTTTTTTATACACCTAAATATTCTAGGTTCATTTAACAGTGCCTTTACTTACTTTTTATTATTTTCTATACAAAAATTTATAGTTTTGTAACCATTTTATTGTTGTATTATGAATATAAAAATGTGTGATGAAACCATTATTTTATAAGATATTAAATCACAGAGAAGATTATCTGGGCACACATATTTTTTACATTTATTTGGAATTAATTTTTTAAAAAATACAAAAATTCACTATTTTATTTTTATAATGTGTTTGGTAGAGGCACCGTCCTTGTTTTAAATTATAGTTTTTGTTTAAAGTACCGGTTTGATTAAAATGCATGAGGTGATGCGTGAGTGGATGATTGGTTTGGGAAGAAGAGCTTTCCTTTCCAGAAACTATATAAGGAAGCATGCATGGCTGCTCCCTCTCACATTCACAGTAAAGCGATGGAGATGATGGATGTGAATGTTGAGATCCAAGGAGGGGAATCGTTTTCCATTCGACTTCATCCTTCCCAAACAATACGTGATATCAAGGAAATAGTGCAACACCTTCAAGGCATTCCCGTTCGCCACCAAATCATCCTCCACAATCAACAACTTCTCTATGACGATCTAAACGTTCAGGAATGCTTCATCCAAAACGGCTCGCGCATCATCGCCCAAATTCACGCCGATGCCCCATCTCCTGCTGTATCGTCGGAGCACGACTACGATTTTTCCACCGACCGCGACGTCAATTTGCCTTCATCGCCATCGTCGGAGCGGCACTCAGACTTCCCATTCCCACCATCACGGCCTCTGGTGCTTGACTTAAACTTGCCGCCATCGCCGGAACCTCTGCATGACCTAAGCATGCCGGTATCGCCGCCGGCGATGCGCGACTTAAATTTGCCACCATTGCGAGCGCCGGTGAACGACTTGAATTTTCCTCCTTCGCCGCCACCTTCGCCGTCACTTTCGCCATCGCAATTAAACCCCTCGCACCTGACGCCGGTGCCTTCGCTGTCACCTTCATCGTTACCTTCGTCATTAAACCACACAGACCTGCCGCCGTCACCTTCGCCGTCACCCTCAACTTCAAGCCACTCATACTTGCCGCCGGTGCCCGTGCCGACGTTCAGCTCCGACCTGAAGCAGCAGCCAATACGGGATCACCAAATTCCACCTTTTTTGAATAGGAATTATAATCTTTCGGATATTGCGCCTTGGAGTCCGTCATTGCAGCTGACTGAGACGTCTTATGAAGACGATCCATTCGAAATTGGAGATTTTTCATCTTCACCACTGTTGATGCCGATGCCAGACACGCCAACAATGGTAAGGAAGATGACAGAGTCGGTGCCGCGAATAACCTCACCTTCACCATCAACTTTCGTACCAAATCCTG